TTTTTTTACAGTTGTCTCACTCTCAGCTAGTTCTATGCAACTAGTTTTATGAAACTTGCCTTGATTGTATCTTTCAAAGAATTCCATGGTTGGTTTTCTAAGGACAGCTCTCTTTCGCACTCACGTTGGATCTGTTTACATATATTTCATCAAAAGTATTTAACAACTATAATTGCTATAAAGACTTTTGGGAGCAAACAGAATCTTTTTTTTTTTTTTGATCAGTAAGGGGATTGCAACCCTCGGCACCACGCTCAGCCAGTGAGCGCACCGACCATCCCTATATGGGATCCAAACCCATGGCCTTGGCGCTCCCAGTGCCGCACTCTCCCGAGCCAGCCACAGGGCCGGCCCTTCACACTCCAACTGGTGAAGGAGATGAATAAGACGTGGACAGAGGCTCATCCCCTTCATGTCACAGTCCGTACTACGCAGAAGTCAGCAGTTTCACAGCAGAAGTGGGGAGTGCCAATTAATTGATCATCTGGTCGGGAGAAGGGTTGTTAAGAAAGATGATTAACTGGCATTTACAGAATACTTCCTCCAACAACAAGAGAATATGCATTCTTTTCAAGCTCACATGGAACATTCTCCAAGACAGACCATATTCTGAGCCCCCAAACACGCCTTAACAAATTTAAAAGAAGAGATACTATACAAACTGTGCTCTTTACCACAATGGATTAAATAATAAATCAATTTAAAAAAAAAGCTGGAAAATTCCAAAATATATGGAGATTAAATAACACACTTGTATTAGTCCGTTTCTGTTGCTTATAACAAAATACACAGAACTTGGTATTTTATGAAGAAAATGAAATTTATTGCTTACAGTTTCTGAGGCTGGGAAGTCCAAAGTCCATCTGGTGGTGGCCACAGTGACCCAGGGGTCTCACATTGAAAGACGGTAGAAGCAGAGAGCAGAGAGTAACCTCCTCATTCACTCTCTTTCTAAAGTCCTCGGAAACACACCCCTGACCACCATTTTTAATCCGTTCACTACTGCATGGTCCTACAATCCAATCATCTCTTCAAGGCTCCACCTTTCAATTACCATAATAGGGTTTCCCACCCTCTTAACAGTCACAGTGGGGCCACTATAGCAGGTTTCTCAACCTCAGCACTATTGGCATTTTGGTCTTGATTCTTTGTTGTGGGGGATGGGGACTGTCTTGTGCAAAGTGGGATGTTTAGCAGCATCCCTGACTACCCACTAGATGCCAGTAGGGGGGCGTAATTCAATCCACTACATTTGTACCCCATAAATATGTGCAATTATTACATATCAATTAAAAAATAAAAATTTTAAAAATAAATGACACACTTCTAAATAACACATGGGGCAAAGAAGTAGTCTCGAGAAATTTTAAAATATTTTGAACTAAATGAGAATGAAAGAAACAACCTCCCAAAATGTATGGGACATGGTGAGCTTTCAGGGAAATTGAAAGCTTTGAATGCATATATTAGAAAAGAAGTTCTAAATTTAGAGAGGGATGAATAGGTGAAGGACGGGGATTTTTAAGGTAGTGAAACTTCTGTATGATGCAATAATGATGGATACATGACATTCTGTATTTGGCAAAACCTACAGAACTGTACAACACAAAAAGTGAATCTTAATGTAAACTATGAACTTTAGTTAATTGTAGTGTATTAATAGCAGTTCATTAATTGTCACGAATGTACAACAGCAATGTTAATAAAAGAAATTATGGGTGGAAAGAGAGGGGGCTTAAGGGAACTCTTTATACTTTTCAATTTTTCTGTAAATCTAAAACTGCCATAAGAAGTAAAGTCTATTAATTAAAAGGAAAAAACATAGTATGTTTCCCTTTAAAAAGAAGAATAAAAAAGAAAGAAAAGAATACAGTACTGTGTTTGTGTGTATCTGTGTGTGTTAACATAGAAAAACATCTGAAAATATCTATCCCAAAATGTTTGTAAGGTAGCTTCTGAGTTTTAGGATCGTGGATATCTTTATATTTCCTGATTTTTCTGACTTTTTTTCTTTGTGTGATATGCATGCACTGCTGTAAAAAAAAAAAAATCACAGGAGACTATAAAACAATTTTGTCAATGACACAAAAAAGACAAAGAAGGACAACTAAAATGTCTTTTTAAGTATGATTTCTCTAGGCTGGGGGTCCCCCATTTTTCAGAGTAGAGTCTGAGGAAAGGCTAGGCTGCTTGTTAATGAACAAAAGATAAGTTTCGGAAAGAGGGGAAATGAGCTGACACAACTCTGCTGGGATTCGCCCATGGGAACGGCCAGCTCCTCCCTTCCGAGGAAACGAAACCAAAGGCAGCCCAGGCTCAGCCAGAGGCGGGCGAGGGAAAGGCTCACAGTGCTGCTGCCACCAGCTCTCCTGTCCCTGCCCAAGTGTCAGTGTCGTGATGGAGCTTAGAAATACCCCAGCCGAGGATCTGGACAAGTTCATTGAAGACAATCTCCTGCCAAACAGGGATTTCTGCATGAAGGTCAAGTATGCCATCAACACTATCTGCGGTTTCCTGAAGGAAAGGTGTTTCCAAAATAACTCCCAGCCTGTGCGGGTGTCCAAGGTTGTGAAGGTAAGGAGAGACAGAGAGAGAGAGAGAGAGAGAGAGAGAGAGAGAGAACACCTACTGGCTGTGAGACCTTGAGCAAGACACAATTTCTCTGGGCCACAATTTCTTTATCTATAATTCCCAATACCTTGTAGGGTCATGCAGATTAAGTAAAATAATGGGTGTAAACCACCTAGAACGAGCCACTCTAGGGTCCTTAATAACATAAAATAGTAAAGGACAAGGAGTAAAGAACACAGCCCCTGGAATAAGGCACCCAGGGTTTGAATTGCATCTCTGCCACCTACTAGCTGGGTGATTGGGCTGATATTCAATCTCCTTAAGCATTTGTTTTCCCACACAATTTCTCTGGGCCACAATTTCTTTATCTATAATTCCCAATACCTTGTAGGGTCATGCAGATTAAGTAAAATAATGGGTGTAAACCACCTAGAACGAGCCACTCTAGGGTCCTTAATAACATAAAATAGTAAAGGACAAGGAGTAAAGAACACAGCCCCTGGAATAAGGCACCCAGGGTTTGAATTGCATCTCTGCCACCTACTAGCTGGGTGATTGGGCTGATATTCAATCTCCTTAAGCATTTGTTTTCCCATTTGTAAAAATGGGAATTAATCATAACAGTACCTAAATCATAGAGTCATTGTGAACGTGATAGGAGTTAAGACTTTTAATGCCCCCAGAACGGTGGCCAGCACTCAATGTTAGTGACTGTTCTCATCATTTTATATAGGGAGGCCCTTCTCACTAAGCCTCAGTTATACTTATCAACTTTTGTAGGGCGGTTCCTCAGGCAAAGGTACGACCATCAAAGACCATTCCGACGCTGACCTTGTCGTCTTCCTTAGCCCTCTCACAAGTTTTAAGAACCAGTTAAGGCTCCGGGAAGAGTATATCAAGGAAATTAAGAAACAGCTGGAAGCCTGCCAAAGAGAGAAAGAATTTGACGTGAAATTTGAGATCCAGAGTTCAGGATTATTCGGCCCTCGCTCACTGAGCTTCACCCTGAGATCCCCCCAGCTCCAGGAGGGTGTGAACTTTGACGTGCTGCCTGCCTTTGACGCCCTGGGTAAGTCTTTCCAGCCATGGGGTTTTCAGCCTCTGGCCTATAACACAGAATGGTTTTCTCTCTTTTCATATTTCTCAGCATAAGTCTCCCACAGTTTGAGAGTTTTACCTAACAAGGGCATCCCTTTACTAAGTGGGGGGAGATTTTAGAATCTCTCCTGGGGCAAGAATGAATAAGGTCATAATCCTTCACGGGAGGGACATTAAACACCAAATTGGCACAATTTGGGGACAAAGACATTTCTTACAGAACATCTGCAAAGCTTACTAGTTCTATTTATGGCAAAACGAGTGGATTTTACCTTTCTAAAAATGGGCTCGCATAGACCTGGCTTAAAGTTAATAGATCAATTTCATCTTTCTTCCAACACATGAGGAAACCTCATCAAACTCACGCTGAGGGTTGAGGTCTGTACATGAAATCTGCAGAAACGTTTGGAAAGGAAGTGGAACCTCTTGGAGGCTCAATTTCTACACTAGGAAAACTGGTAAAACCACATCACATATGTCATAACGTTATTTTAAGTATTAAATGATAATCTGCATTAAGCTCTCAGAAAAGGCCTGGCACATAATAGGTGTTCAAAAATATGAGTTCTCCAACTGTACACTAAGACACCCCAGGACACCATGATGAACTCCTGGTGGAGTGGGGTGGGGGGACAGTTAAGATTTTAAATTTTCAAGGGAAACATAGTGACATCCGTTGGACATGGCGCAAACTGCTACTGTTAAGTTGTTCGGACTGAACTACTTGGTAGAACTGTGAGGGATTTCTTTTGGCCTGGGAGAGCCATGAAAAAAATACTGACGTTCTCCAAAGGCACCAAGAAACGAGAAAGTCTGAGACTTTCTCCTTGTCATGTCCCGTGTCTGGTGCTGGGGTACGATGGTTACAAAAAATAAGAGGGGGAGAGAGAGAAGGGGAGGTTAGAAGAGAGCAGGGTGCATTGGGGGAAATGCGGGAAACTGAGTCTGAATGGAGTAGAGAGGGCGAGGAGGAAGTGACTCAGAAACGAGCTGGGAGAGCTGATCCTGCAGAAGCCTGAAATTGGTAGTGAATTTCTCCTAAGCACCCTGGGCAGCCGCGGAAAGGTTTCCAGTGCAGAAGTAACATGATCAGATCTGCGTTTTAGAAGGACGGCATTGACTGTCATATGGGAAATGGATTGGAAGAGGCAAGGCTGGGGGAGGGAGACAGCCAATTAACAACCATAAGCACAGGGCCGGCTGGTTTGCTCAGTCGGTTAGAGCATAGTATTGATAACACCAAAGTTAAGGGTTCTGATCACCATTTGCAAAAACCAACCAACCAACCAAATAAACAAAAAACAACTATAAGCACAGATCATCACAGCTGACCGACCCATTGTGCACCCACTGTCTACTGTGTGCCAGGCGCTGTTCTATGGTTGTGAATAAGCCAGACGAGGAACCTGTCTCCTGGAGCTTGACAATAAACATATAAACAAGATATATGGAGTGATATTTGCTGGGATAAAAACAAACAGGGTGATACTACAGACAGTGATGAGGGTTGGAGGACTTTTTTACACTGGGTGTAAAAGAGGGTCCTCTGAGGAGGTGACATCTGAGCGGAGGCCCCAGTGATACAAAGGAGCCAGCCATAAGAAGACCTGGGGTTCTGGCCAAAAGAAAGAGCAGGTGCAAAGGCCCCAAGGCAGGAATGAGCTTGGCACACCTGAGGAAAAGAAAAAAGGCCAGGGTAGTAAATGGGCGAAGAAAGCCAGGCAGCAGGTGGATGATGTAGCAAGGGCAGATCACACCAGATCTCGTTGGCCACAACAGGGACTTCCGAGTTTTTTATTCCAAATGTCGTGAGAAGAAAGAAGTGGCATGATTAGATTTTAAAAGATCTCTCTAGGTGCTGGGTTGAGAAGCAGCTGTGGGGGAACCAGCAAGCAGCCCACTGCCGTAGAACAGGTGAGAGATGATGGTGGCTTGGACGGGGTGACGGCAGTGGAGATAGGAGAAGGGAGGACTGGGAATGAACCTCAGGCTTCCAGGCCCTGGGTCTGCTGCCCTGGGTCTGAGCCCCATGACCAGTGAACTTGTGCCCCCAGAGTGACTAAAAGGACCTCAGAAGAGAGCTGACATCTTAAAGTTATGAATTCCTCCCTCACAGGTCAGCACTTCGGACACTACAGACCTGACCCCCAAATCTACGTCCGGCTTATCCGGGAGTGCACCCAAGTGCAGAGAGAGGGCGAGTTCTCCACCTGCTTCACAGAGCTACAGCGAGACTTCCTGAAGCAGCGCCCAACAAAGCTGAAGAGCCTCATCCGCCTAGTCAAGCACTGGTACCAACTGGTATGGCTCCCCTGTCAGCACTGTGGGCCCCGCCTGAGCAGGGAGCAGAGAAGGAGGAGGGAGGGGACAAGATGTGGGGAGGGAGGAGAAGAGGAGAGAAAGAGCAAGAAGAAGAGGTGAGGAAGAGAGGGAGGGAAGGGAGGGGAAAAGGAGAGGAGGAAAATATGTGAAGGAAGGGATTTTTGTGTTTTGTTCACTACTGTATCCCCAGAACCTAGAATAGTATCTGACACATAATAGGTGTTCAATGAATAATTGTTGAATAAATGAGTGAATGCTCTAACTACACACACACACACACACACACACACACACATCCACTCACAGAGTCAATCACACTCTTCAGAAGATGGATAGGGCAGGACAAGCACTTCAAACAAATGTGTATTCAGACTCCCTTCCCCCCACTTCCTGGCCGTCTGATCTTGAGCAAGCAACTTAACTTCTTTGTTCCTTCTGTTTTGTCATTTGCAAAGCGTAACATGCCATAGCAATAGTAAAGGAGGTAACACAGTGCCTAGCATAGAGTTGGTCCTAATAAATGTAGCTTCTTTTAGCCACCATAAGAGTACACATAATACTAACATCTGTTGTGTGCTTAGCTTAATTTATCTGTCTTCTGTGGATGTGATGTGCTTTTCTGTTCACTTTTCTTTTCTTCCAAATTTTGTTTTATTTTGTTAATATACAATGTAGTTGATTACTGTGGCCCATCACCGAAACCTCCCTCGCTCCTCCCTCTCCCCCTCCCTCCCAACAATCTCCTTTCTGTTCACTTGTCGTATCAACTTCAAGGAATTGTAATTGTTGTGTCTTCTCCCCCCCACCCCAGTTTTTTTGTGTATTTATTTATTTTTAGCTCCCACCAATAAGTGAGAACATGTGGTATTTCTCTTTCTGTGCCTGACTCATTTCACTTAATATAATTCTCTCTAGGTCCATCCATGTTGTTGCAAATGGCAGTATTTCATTCGTTTTTATAGCAGAGTAGGATTCCACTGTGTAGATATACCACATTTTCCGTATCCACTCATCCGATGATGGACATTTGGCTGGTTCCAACTCTTGGCTATTGTAAAGAGTGCTGCGATGAACATTGTGGAACAGGTATACCTTCGACTTGATGATTTCCATTCCTCTGGGTAGATTCCCAGCAGTGGGTAGCTGGGTCATATGGTAGATCTATCTGCAATTGTTTGAGGAACCTCCATACCATTTTTCCATAGAGGCTGCACCATTTTGCAGTCCCACCAACAGTGTATGAGAGTTCCTTTTTCTCTGCAACCTCGTCAGCATGTATCATTCACAGTCTTTTGGATTTTAGCCATCCTAACTGGGGAGAGATGGTATCTCAGTGTGGTTTTGATTTGCATTTCCCGAATGCTGAGTGATGTTGAGCATTCTTTCATATGTCTGTTGGCCATTCATATATCTTCCTTTGAGAAATTCCTATTTAGCTCTTTTGCCCATTTTTTGATTGGGTTGCTTGTTTTTTTCTTGTAAAGTTGTGTCAGTTCCTTGTAGATTCCGAATATTAATCCTTTGTCAGATGTATATTTTGCAAATATTTTCTCCTACTCTGTTAGTTGTCTTTTAACTCTGTTAATTGTTTCTTTTGCTGTGCAGAAGCTTTTTAGTTTGATATAATCCCATTTGTTTATTTTTCCTTTGGTTGACCGTGCTTTTGGGGTCGTATTCATGAAGTCTGTGTCCAGTCCTACTTCCTGAAGTGTTTATCCTATGTTTTCTTTAAGAAGTTTTATTGTTTCAGAGTGTATATTTAATGCTTTAACCCATTTTGAGTTGATTTTGGTATATGGTGAAATGTATGGGTCTAGTTTCATTCTCCTGCATATTGATATCCAGTTATCCCAGCACCATTTGCTGAAGAGGCAGTCTCTTCTCCAGTGTATAGGCTTGGTGCCTTTGCCAAAGATCAGTAGTTCTGTTCACTTTTAAATGCCCTGTATCTTATGTAATCTTCACAGTGATTCTGTGAGCTAGGTAAGGGTGGGTATTGTTATGAAACCCCATTTAATAATGATAAAGAAAGAGAAACTAAGGGTCAGTTGGCTCATTCAGCTCATAGGTAGCAGAACTAAACCTTGAACTGGGGTCTATCGACTCAAGAGTTTGCCTGATATACAAATATAATAAGTGTTCAATATATATCTATTAGATGAATGAATGAAAGGATAAATGAATAAATCAATAAATGAACAAATGAAAATAATTATGGATAACCTTCCTAATTTAAAAGTAACACCTCTAGGCAAAGCAGGACAATCATTTAGTTGCTAGACTTCTCAGTGTTTGCTGTTCCAGGAATTTTAATTATGGAGCCTGAGCATTTTAGAACTTAGAAAAGTGGTTCTTGACAAGAGCAGCACTGCCCCCTGGGAATATTAAAGATTAGTGAGGGCATTTTTGGTAACCATGGTGATAGGGGGACAAGGGTGTTACTTATATTTAGTGGAAAGAAGCCAGAAAACTAGCTGTTTTATAGTAATCAGGATGGTCCTGCACAGCCAAGAATTGTCTTTTTCTTTCTCCTGCTATCCTCCTCTAAAACAATACAAGAACCTTCTAATATTTTAATTCCACTAACTACTGTTACCACTACCTCCAATTTATATGCCACTTTTGTTGTGTATTTCAAGTCTCTCTATTTTTTTAAGTGCCTCAAAACATTATTATTGTCTTACACACCAATGTTTATTTTATCCACTCACATATTTACCACCTTCTTCACTGTTAATTCTTTCCTCTACCTCTAACCTTCCATCTGAGGTCATTTTCCTAAAGTACATCCCTTGCTATTTATTTTGGTAACAGTGTGTTGGTAGTGAACTTTCTCAGTTTTGTTTATCTGAAAATGCCTTGCTTTTTGTTGAAGTTGGTTTTTTGCTGGGTTGGTGGTCATTTCAGTACATTGAATATATCATTCCATCTTCCAGCGTCATTATGAAGAAGTCAGTTGTCAGTCTAACTATGGCTTCTTTGTAAGTAACCTGTCTTATTCCTTTGGCTGCATTTAAGATTTTGTCTTTGATTTCATTTAGTTTCAATCTGATGTGTCTTAATGACCGTTTCTTATTATTTGTCCTGCTTGGGGTTTCGATGGGATCCCTGAATCTGTGAATGGATATCTTTTATCAGTTTTGGAAATCCTCAGCCATTCTCCTAATATAGTGTCTCTACTCACCTAGAACTTCAGTTAAATGTATGTTAGACCTTCTTGCTCTGTCTTCTATATCTCTACACCTTCTTCGATATTTTCTATCTTTTTGTTTGTCTCTCAATGCTTTATCCTGAACAGTTTCTTCTAGTCTACCTTCCTATTAACTGCTTTTCCCTATAGCTGTGTTTAATTTGTTCTTGTTATTAATTACAGTTATTATCGTTTTTATACTAGGATTTCTATTTCATTCTTTTTCAAATCTGCCCTATTACTTTTTATGGCTTCTCATTTTCTGCTAACACTTTCAAGCTCCTATTATTTCTTTTTACCATTATATTCCTAGTTATTTTGAAATCTGTGTTCAATCTTCCAGTATTTAAAGTTTTATGGATTTATTACTATCTCTCTTTTTTCTGCTATTCATCACTTGTTTCCTTGTGTACCTGGTTATCTGTGTGCTGGTCATTGGGCTTAAAAAATTATTTTTGAAATAATTTAAGGCTTTGGGTTCTATGCAGGTACTTCAAAAAGTCCATGAAAAGATTTGTATTATCTTTTAATTCTATTTTTCCACAAACTTTAAAAAGTACCCCCATATATATTCCTCCAAAGGGAATTTTATTGGCTTTGGTGAGGCTCTTAGGAATACTTTAAGTACTTTCTCTTGGTTAATTTTCAAAGTATCCTTATAAAGGTATATGCTAATATTACCATTCACTGGGAAGATGAAAAAAAAATGAGGCTCTGAGAGTCTAAGTCATCTGCTGAGAATCAGACAGTGTTGGAGCCAGGATTTAAACCAAGGTAAGTAAGAATTCAGAGCTCAGCCTCTTAACTAGAGGAAAGCAATTTTTTTTCTGTAAAGAGATAGATAGTAAATATGTTAGACTTTGTGGGCAACGTGGTGTCTGTCACAACTACCCAACTCTGCCTTTGTAGCACACATAGGTGAATGGGTATGGCTTTGTGCCAAGAAAACTTTATTTACAAAAACAGGTGACAGGCTGGATTTGACCCATGAGAAATGTACTTTACACAAAAGCTGGACAAACCCGTATTTCTGATTGTTTTTCCTCTTCTCAGTGTTTGAAGAGGATTGGGAAGCCACTGCCACAGCAGTACGCCCTGGAGCTCCTGACAGTCTATGCCTGGGAGCAAGGGAGTCAAAAAACAGAGTTCAGCACAGCTGAGGGCTTTCATACAGTCTTGAAATTAATCATCAAATACCAGTACCTTTGCATCTACTGGACAGTATATTACAACTTCGAAAACCCTGATATTGAAAAGTACCTGAACAAGCAGATCAATAAACCCAGGTACCTTATCCTCACATGGCTTACCTCCCAACATAAGTGAATCCCTGGATATAGCTGTAGTGCCTTGGAAGTAGAGGAGGTGGGAGGGCTCCACACGTATTGAACATCTCCCATTGTCTGTCATGTGCTGGGTACCTCACTACTGCCATTTAATTTAAATAACAACCTGCAACTATGCCACCCATTTTACAGATGCCTAAACTAAGGTTCTGAGAGGTAAGAAGCTTGCCCAAAACTTAACAGAAAATGAGTGACATAGCTGGAATTTGAACTAAAATAACAGCAGCAGCAATAATAATAATAATTGCTCCCAGGAATTAAAAACTTACTCCAAGTCTAACACATCCTAATATAATAATAAAAATTACTATCATTATAACTGACATGTATTGACCCCTTGTTATGTTCTGGCCACTGTGCTGAGCATTTCACATGCCTTGGCTTTCTCTATTCTCATACCACATCCTTTGAGATAGGCATGTTCAACTCACCCCATTTCACAGATGAGGAAACTGAGGCTTAGAGAGATGAAGCGACCCTGCCCAACAGTATACCATGAATAAAGTGCAGAAGTGAGATTCAAACCCATGTCTGTCAGGACCAAGTGCAAGGCTCCTTCTGCTCATGCTCCCTGCCCACTGTGCAGCAGGGCACTCAGGACACATGCCATGGGCCAGTGCCCTACTGGAACCCTCCTCATGCCCCGAGTCCCCGCCTGCCCTGGGCTAGTGTTTTGCTCTGCCTGGAATATCTAGGCATCCTGGACAGAGCTCCAAGTCCTCACCTGTCTCTGTCTAAACATTGTTCTTCAGGCCTGTGATTCTAGACCCGGCTGACCCTACAGGAAACTTGGGTGGAAACCCACACAGCTGGAGTCGGCTGGCATCAGAGGCTGAAGACTGGCTGAGTTACTCGTGCTTTAAGAAAAAGGATGAATCTTCAGTAGGCTCCTGGAATGTGCCGGTGAGACCTTCTGCCTCCTCTCTGCCCTTTATCTCCACATTCCTCCACACAGCTAGAGCCCATTCTTTCCAAAAAATTACCTCTTGCTAAAGGTGATTATTGTATTCATATAGTTATAGGCTATGATCCATATTTTATAGTCGTTAGGGCCCCAATCAGACAGTTCCTGGAACTTTTACCTCCCTTGTCCAAAATTTATTTCACAAAGAATGATAATAAATAATAACAACCACCACTTATTGACTATCTGCTTTGGGCTCAGGTTCTGTCCTAAGCCCTTCAATATACATTACCACATTAAATCCTCACAACAATCCTATGAGGTATGTTTTCTATCATCCCCATCTTACAGATGAGAAAAAGAGGCTCAGAGAGATGAAGTCACTTGCTCAAGGACACACAGCTAAAGGAGTGGTGGAGCTGAGATTCAAAGTCACTGGACTCCAAAGCCAGTGCTCATATCACTGTGCTAAACAGCCTGCCTTGTATCATCCCCACTTATGATCTGACAAATGGGAGAGTCAGAGCAGCTGAGTGACTTGGGTTGTGGCGCACAACTAAGCAAGGGCAGAAGGACCTGAACTGGGGTCTTTCCACTCACAGGGTAGGGGTTTTTCTGATGCCAGCGGATTGATGATGTTGTGGGCGAGTTCCCTAGGAAGTAGACTCAGAGATGGAGTTTAGTGTGCAGGATGTTTTGGGGGAGTACCATAGGAACCAAGACCCATGGAAAGGAGGAGATTCAGGGAGAGGGCACAGGGAGAAGTGATCAGGGATGCAGGGCTGATGACAGCCTCAGCCAAGCCCAGGGATAGTCCTGGAGCTGGAATGGCCTTTACAACTATCTTGCAGCAGACAGAGGTGGCAAGGCCTTTATACCCGCTATGTGGATCAGTCACTGACTGGGAAACTCAGGAAGGGGAGTGGCCTTGAGCAAAAGGCTCTCTGCAGTTGAGGCAACCCCTGAAGGGGCTGACAGCTGGAGTCTGCCTGGTGACACCTTCCCAGCAGCTGGGACTCGTTAGTCCTCTCTCAAAGGGGAATCCAGGTGGCATGTCGCCATACCCGTCATAAATGTTCACCGAGATCCAGTTCCAAGGTAGGAAGACCAGCTCTCCTATGTGATCATGATTTACCTTTTCAGACCAAAGACAGTGAGGGCTACCAAATCTGACTTACAGGATCTCTCTGCCAAATGGTTGTAACAGAACATATATGCACCCTGATTTCTTAGGCCATTGTCCACTCCACAGGTGGAAGAGAGCTGAATACGTGCCATCCTCTGAACACCAGTGCATCTTAGTGGAAAATGCTCCCGAGTCATCCAGACAGCACCCTCATTTCCATGTGGAGCCCTTGATCTGGACAGGGCAGAGGACTTTCCCAAGGTCTTCAGTGAGTTGCTGTCCAATCTAGGACTAGAATCCCTCTCTCCTGACCCTGACCCCTGTCCTTCCCACTATTCTGTGCTCTTTCTCTTTTCATAGACAGCATTTCCCCCCAGCTCTTGCCTCACTATGGCCTGTTCCATGACAATGTGCTCTGAGAGACAAGAGAGACTGAGACGAGAGAGTGGAACCCCAGCCTTGACTTTCTTCTGTGTACCTGGTGTGAAGGTTATGGGCCAATTTATTATCACTAACAATAAAAATAACATCAAATACCATCTATTGTCTGTTTATTAACTTTGAGGCACAGAACCAAGAAGTATAGGTGCACGTGTATAAGTGTGTGCAATTCACTAATTCAGCTAGAAGTATTTATTGAGCACCTACTATGTACCAAGCATAGTTCTGGGCACTGGAAACACTGCAATAAACAAAGCAGACAAAAATCCCTGTCAAGAGACTGTCTGGTTAGCTTAGCTGGTTAGAGCATGGTGTTAACACACCAAACTCAAGGGTTCAGATCCCTGTACCAGCCAGCCTCCAACGTACCAAGCATAGTTCTGGGCACTGGAAACACTGCAATAAACAAAGCAGACAAAAATCCCTGTCAAGGGACTGTCTGGTTAGCTTAGCTGGATAGAGCATGGTGTTAACACACCAAACTCAAGGGTTCAGATCCCTGTACCAGCCAGCCTCCAAAAAAATAAAAAGTCCCTGTCCTCATGGAGTTAACATTTGTATGGAACATTTTAAAATATTTGATGGTTTGGGATCCTTCCAATTTTCCTGTTACAAATAATCATGAGGTAAGCATTCTTGGTTCATCCCTTGTCCACATCTCCAGGAAAAATTCTTGAACTACCCTGTCTGACACAGTAGCCATTAGCCACATGTGGTGACTGAGTGTTTGAAATGTAACTAGTCCAAATTGAGGTGTGCTGTGAGTGCAAAATATAATGGGTTTCAAAGACTTTGTCCAAAAAAAAAAAAAA